GTTGTACACTCGTGGCGTGAGGCTGGGTAGACATAGGTAACAGTATGAATGTGGACCTACCAGAGACGAAAGACAAGGAGAGGATTTACCTGAAGCTGGGATCCCCGCCTCCGTCTGCCATTCTCTCGCAGCGCCTGCCGGACTGAGAGCTCTGCTTAGGATTACACTGGGTCAGAGCTTCACCGCCTCTGTGCCTGCCCAGAGCTCTGGGGGAATCTCTGCCAACCATCCCGCCTTACCATCCCTCAGGGTTTGTATCAAAAGGGGAAAATGAAGGACCCCAGTTAGCAAGACAGACTCCATATTGCTGCTGAACGACCCACCTGCCTGCCCTTTAGATGAACTCAAAAGGAGGAAGCTTAGAAACTTCCTCCCCTTAGAGTCTCTTAGAAACAACAATTAATCAACGATTGTTTTACAAATGTCCTAACAACAGGACGTTCCGCTTCTGTACCTTTCACTTGCTTTACTAGTTCTATCCCATAGGGGGGGCCTAAACTGCTGGCCTCAAAGGTGTATAAAATATGTTAATCTCCCCCCGTGGAGGCTCGAGTCCGATGCTCGGCTCAGGTCCTGGCCAGTAATAAACTCCTGTGTGGATTTAATATTGGTCTCTGGTTGGTTCTCTCTCACTGGGTGTAACAGAAAAGAAAAGTGAAATTGCCTGTGACGTGACTGCAGCCACACACACACACACACACACACACACACACACACACCCAGCTCTTCCCAGTCTCTCCGCCCAGGGAGGAGTGGAGGGCCAGCCCCAGTTGTCCCCAGAACCAGGGAGGAGCCGCTCACTCAAGTCAAGCAAAGAGGCTAGAAGAGCCCATTGGACTAAGGTGGATGGAAGCTGTCTTGAGGCCAGGTGGCACGCTGTATACAGGGAAGAAGTGAGTCCACATTCGCCCTTCCCCTGGCCTGTCCATCTTCTCTCTGGCCTGTAGCTGGCTGAGGACCGTAGCGAGGCTGGACTGGGGGCTCAGGCCTAGCATTTGGACACGGGGCACTTTACAATTATAGCCAGAATGACCAAGTGAAACCGGGCTTCCTGTGTCCCTGAGGTCTTGAGGAAAGTGGCAGCTTCTCGGGGACCGGGCAAGGTTTGGAACTGAGATTATCTAGACCTTCAAGGCTGACATGAAGTGGGAGGATGAGCACCGTACATTTGTTTGTACAGTTTTTGGTTTTGGTTTTTTGTTTTTCATTTGTCCCTGACCCTGGTTCTGTAAAGGATTTGGAACAATTTACAAAAATAGCTACATCAGCATCAAGTTGAAAGATAAGGAGATAGGAGCAAATATTTATTATTATTTATTAATGCAAATAAAAATAAATAAATGAGGGCCAGGGATTTAGTGCAGTGGCACCGCACCTGGCTCACAAGCACAAGGTCCTGAGTTCCATCGTGGTACCAATAAATAAATAGATAAATAAATAAACCCAGAAGACTAAATCCAGGCAGAATGGGTGAAAGACGGGGATCAGGAGCCAGGGCACCTGTGGACATCATCTCAGACAGAGCAGTGGCTGAGCAGGTGAGGACTGCAAAGCAGGAGGAAAGCACCACTCTTCAGAGATGCACCCCTGAACCCCACTTACCCCGGCTCTTCATGGATGTGCTAGGGAACTTGCACATGCAGGTTTGTAAAAGAGAGGGCAGCTGATTTCTGGCCATTTGCTCCTTTCTGACTTCTTTCTCCCCAAGGAGCAAACCCCGGTATGATTAGGACAAATTCCAGGACACTGACAAGAACATCTTTTCCTATGGGCAGTGTCACTCTGTCTACCAGGTGCTGCGTATATGCAGGAAATCCCCTCTCTCTCTGTCTCTGTCTCTGAGTCTTGCTCTCTCACTCTCCCTGACTTTGTGGAGGGGTGGTGCCTCTGTTGGACACAGCTGTCCTCTGTTCATGTCCTCCCTGGGCCACAGTGAAGCAGACAAGATGTGCTCTGGTGTTCCCTCTGTCTCCTCCCTCTGCCCTGGGCACCAACACCAGTGGCCTGAGCACAGCTGAGCTGGGCATTTCTGTTACTGTACACCCTGCTTTTGCTGATAACCACCAGGTCTTTGGTGCTCCTCAGCTGGCAATAGAAAGCCTGGGACTTGGGGGGTGGCCTGCCTAGGGTATCGGTGGCCCCTACTCTGCAATACCGTGCATCGCCTGGAATCTCAGCTCCTAGGTCCTACTGTCTTGTTTTTCCCTGACAGAGGTTCATGACAGAACTTCTCCTGCTCAAGGGATGCCAAGCCTGTGACCATGAGCCCACCCCTGCCTGGCTCTAGTGCACGGGCAGCATTGTCTTTCCCCGTGACCAGTGAGACGAGGAGACCAGCTGCTTCCTGATCTGTGCTCCACCCAGATGCAGGCAAATAGGTGACTCTAACAATGCAAGTCCACGCTTGCGTCTGGCCCGAAAGACCTCTCTCGGTTTTGCTAAGTGCACTAGGGTCTGACCCTTGGGATCAGAGAGTGATTTATTCAGGCTTCACCACAGGATTTCCCAATTTACCCATTTGGCAAAGTCTACCAAAGGCTAGCTGTGAATGCTAACGAAATGTTCACCAGCTTTGCATCCAGTTATGTCAGGTAACCAATCCCAGCTAGATCATATATCCTTAAGATACATTGCTTATCATTCATTCCCCAGTACTGGGCATGCCCTTAATCCCAGCCCTTGGGAGACTGAGGCAGGAAGATCGCTGCAAGTTTGAGGCCAGCCTAGGCTACATAGTGAGTTTAAGGCCAGCCTGCACTGCATAACGAGACCTTGTCTCAAAAAATTAATTAATTAAAATGAAATAATCCATTCCCTGGTACCCAATATTTTAATCATCCAAGATTTGGAGGTACAAGCAGCTAAAACTAGCTCTGGCTAATTCAGGGAGAAAATCCATTTCTTAAAAGCATCTTGAGTAGCTCACAGAGTTTATAACAGGCTGGAGGAGCAAGCTAAGAAAATAGGTGGTCCAGGCAGTAAGATCCCTAGCCCAGCTCATTCTAAATACAGGTGTGAGGCCACAGCTTTGACGAATGTGTCCTCCCTTTCTGATTAGAAATGAAGATCAGAAACATCTTCCTCTCACTTGCAACATATAAAAGTAATAATCATATTGGCTTCCCTGCTCTTTGTTATAATGTAAGAGACCTGGATCACCTGGCATCCCATAGAACATCACACTGAAGATTACACTGGCGATATCAGACTGATTAGACAGGAAAAGCTAGAGGGGGCCAGGTCACTTGCTAAAGAGGAATGAATTATGGGCCTTTAACAACAGGAATAAATCTCAAAAGAATTATGAGAAGCAAAGAAATCTCCCCCTGGAACCAAAAGATACTATGTTTCCTTTTACATGACATTTTAATACAAGCAAAACCAGTCTGTAATAATAGCAAGTAGATCCGTGCGTGCCAGGACACAGGGGAGTTTTCAGGGGCATTGGAAATAGTTTATATCTTCATCATAGTAGTGATTACATTTCGTAAAAATCATCAGAAGGTTCACTTAAGATTAATGCATTTTATACATCCATAAAATTGAGCTTAAAGGATGATACACATTCTTAATGAGCTCTCAGGACATATTCACTTGCACGTGAATTATCAGGTGAAGTTTTCCCATTGTTACTATTTTCTTTCTTTTCTTTTCTTTCTTTCTTTCTCTCTCTCTCTCTCTCTCTCTCTCTCCTTCCTTCCTTCCTTCCTTCCTTCCTTCCTTCCTTCCTTCCTTCCTTCCTTCCTTCCTTCCTTCCTTCCTTCCTTTCTTTCTTTCTTTCTTTCTTTCTTTCTTTCTTTCTTTCTTTCTTCTTCCGTACTGGGGATCAAACTCAGGACCTTGTGACTGTGAAGCAGGCACTGTGCCACTGAGCTAAATCCCCGGCCCTTGTTACTGTATTCTTAAGCATGGGTTGCTCAGAATAGATATTTTTTAGCTGGGGATTTAGCTCAGTGATTCTGCTGCCTGCCTTGCAAGCGCAAGGCCCCAAGTTTGATTTCTGGTACCAAGGGAAAAAAAAGAATATCTTTTCTCTTCATGTGTACATAAGTTTTGCCTGATCTGGCAGTATTTTCCCACTCTTCCTGCTGTCTCTCCTTCCTGCCCCCTGCAGCATGTGCCAGTGCATCTCTGAATGGGTCTGAAGGAAGCTCTTGATGCCAGGAAAGTTTTTCCAGGGCAAGTGGTGGGGCTGCAGGAAATGAAGGGTGACATTTGGTCGTGGTCCTCTCAATCCCTCTTCCCGCCCATCTATGTCCGCATCTTCCAGCCTTGCGTGAGTGTCGCACGCACCTTTTCCCCGAGATCTGGCCCCAGCTTCTCCCTGTGGTCCCCATCCCCTGGGCCTGCTGTGGCTTCCACATCCCTCCTCCCCCGAGGCTGTGACCCACTGGGCCTGCGGGTTGCTCTGCTCTGGACACACCTGGCTGGGCCATGCCGTGTTCCGGCCTCCACAGAAAGCTCAGAAGAGCTCTCTCCTGTCTCCTTAGCTTTGGTTTCAAGACTTCTAAATACTAGAATGATCTTTCTCATTTTTTACTGAGGGCTTTGCGCGGGTGCGGGTCGAGGGAAGTCATGGGTGGAGCACATTCAGAATGATGGCTTAAATAGTTAGACAGATGTCTAAATGTGGTGCTTCTCATGGACCCTACATGTCACCTACCCTAACAGTCTCTACAGGGACTGTGCAGAAAGGGTGGCCGCCACCTTGCGGTTGACCTGTACTCTAGGGTCCCCATCCGGCTGGGCTCTGCTCGGCCATCCTGCACACTCCTGGCTCCAGCCACTCTCCACTCTCCACCAGGTGGGAAGGGACAAGTGGATTCCCAGTCCCCAACAGCCACCGGGCTGGTGCCCTGCTCCTCCGCCCCCCCCCTCCCCAGGCGCCCCGATGGGCAGCACTCCCACCCCAACTCCCTTCTGCGCGGCTCGGCGCGAGGGCAGCACCCGCTGGCCTCAGCTTCCTGCTTTTGGGCGGGGAACGCTTTCGCTTTTCTTTCCTCTGCAGCCCGCCCCAGAAGGAGCACGCGGACTTTCCGTTTCCTCTGTGGCAGTTTCCTGCGAGCTGAGCTCCCAGTTTTCCGGGAGGATCCCGTGTCCAGCCCCAGGAACCCGGAAAGGCCAGGAGCCGGTGGCAAACCCAGCCCTCAGGTGAGCTGCTGTCCTGCTGTTGTCTGCCGTGTGGGAGGCTGGGGATTTTATCCTTCCCTTCCCTTCCCTCAGGGCAGCCTCTGCAGGGTGGAGCTACCTATGAAACTCTGAGGCCCCCTCTGTAAAACGGTTCTTTCCTGCGAGGCTGACAGGATTGGTGGGAGCTAACGGGCCACACAGTAGAAGCTGACGCGCAGCTCTGCTCTGAGCTTCCTGTACCTTCTTGCCGTCCTTATTGGCACCAAGATCTGACTCTACCCGCTGTAAGCTCTGGCTCTGCACGCTGCCCACAGCCTGTGGCTGCTTCCTTGCCGCTGCCCAGGGGTCCGCGTGGGCAGCTGGTGGCAAAGAGAAACAAGGTGAGTCCTATAATTTCCTCCCTGGTGTGTCGTGAACTTTTAATATATATTTTCTTCAAGCACATTCATGATTATCTCCTTGAACTAAATTCCTACAAGTGAAAATTCAAAGAAATACATGTTTTAGAGCATTCGACACTCATTACTAAATGAGGCTCCAGAACGTTTGGACCTGTCTACATTTCCACTCATGATGATGTCCAGGATTATTGTTATTATTTTCTGCCTTGGCCACTTTGACGGGCAAATATGTTTTCAAATTGTCTTTGCACATTTCTCTCTCCTAGTGAGGACACGTGGTTTGCCTATATACAGTGCACATGTGGCTGACTCTTACTGCTTGCCTATGCAGAGCTTTAGCTTTTATTGCTGCTTAGAGGTTTACCTTTTGCTGATTCATTTGTAGGATCCTTTACATAATAAAATCTGAATATGGTCATCTATGAGATGCAGTATCTTGCAGAGTGCTAGAGAAAGACAAACTCTGCTTTGCTGCGGGATACCTTGGACTGCTTACTTAGCCTCTCTATGTCCCGCTGCCATCCTTAGAGAATCCTAACAGATGAAGAATGAAAAACCGGGAAACATCCTACACTGCGTTGTTATATAATGAATGCCCTAAATGGAGACAGAGCCCCTTCTACTTAGTGGGAATTCACTTTGGCTTTCACTGACTACAATCTTTGCAGTGTGTCCTCTCCCCACACGTCCTGTGGATAGCAGATTTCTCTCCTATTTGTTCTCTACCTTCTAGAATTTCTTCATGATCAAAGACCACTAGTAGCTTATTTTATAGTACTGTGATGTATTATTGTTTTAACAATATTTTTTCTGCCAAATGTAAAGGATGTGACAAAAGGGAAGAAGAGGCAGAGGTGTTCAATTGGCCAATGGGATTAGAGCCCTGGAAGTAGGTGTTAATTACAGTTTTATATTCTACTTAACACAAAATGAAGTCCAAACAAGTGGACCCATGTCTGCTATGTGTTTTAAAAATCTCTAGATGATTGAACGTGTGTTAGCACTACCCTTTTTTGTAACAATTTATCAACAATGTCATATGTAAATTTTCTTTTTTTTTTTTGGTACTGAGGCTCGAACTCGGGTCCTTGCGCTTGTGCAGCAGGCGGCGAAACCACATATGTAAATTTTCTACCTGCTATAACTTATTGATCTTGTCTCATGAGCCATGAATGGTCAATTTTTATAAACGTTGCACAGGATGAGAAATGCCTCATGCCCGTCCTGAGCTTGGAAATGAATATGTGAGATGAGTCGGTGATGTCACTTTCACCAATCACACTTTTCACATCTTTCATGATTTTGTTTATTTTTGGCCTGCTTCTGTTGAAAAGTTGAGTAGCTCATCAAACTTTCTAGATATTATCAGGTTTCCAAGGTTGGCGTGGTCCTTTCCTATGTTCCTTGCTAATGGATGGCTTGAGCTACGGCCAGGCCATCTGGTTTACCCCAGCTCCATGCACCACAGAGCATGCACTTACATCAGCCTGCAACCAGAAAATCAGGATTTGTTCCCACCTCTCCCACTTCCAGGCTGCACAAATGAGGATGAGAGTTATTAAGCCTCTCTGTGTGCCATGATCCCCAACAATTAAATGGATGCAATCATAAAAACTATTTTGCAAAATTTAATGAAGATCACATAAATTGCTGCCTTGAAACCCTTACAGCAAATTTGGTACACAGAAAGCACTCAATAATAGGAGATATTTTTTCCCCATTAAGTTAATTGGTACATTATAGGCATAAAATACAGTTACTTACATATATCATTGGGATCTTGTACCATTACATGAGTATCTTTGTTCTTATTTTTTTCCCCTTTCCCTGCCCTCCCTTCACCCCCTCCACCCTTCCCTATTTGTAAAGACTTTGTTTCTATTTTTTTCCTTTTCTCATATTTTTTCTTTTCCCTTCTTTCCTTTTCCCTACCCCTCCCACTTCCCCTGCTCCTTTAGACCTTTACTTCCTATTACACAATATCAATTATACATTTTTAAAATTACAATACAGATTCATTCTGCTGGGTTTCCTGGGGTTGTGATCCTCATTGTCTTTCCCTAGGATATTGTCTAAAATTTTTTTGAGTGTTGGTTTGGTATTCATGAAGTTCCTAAGGTTCTTTTTATTATGAAAGTATCTTATTTCTCCATCAATTTTGTAAGATAGTTTTGCAGGGTACATCAGTCTGGGTTGGAAGCTGTTTTCCTTTAGGGCTTGAAATGCATCAGACCAAGCTCTTCTTGCCTTGAGGGTTTGCATTGAGAAGTCTGCTGTGATTCTGATGGGCTTTCCTTTGTAT